AAGCACAGACTTCCTTTTTTCAACAACAACCTATACTATTTCTGTTTTAGCCCAACAAGCAAGCAGATCCTTTTTGCTGTGATGCACTGTCAGCTGTGAGATCCTAAATGGACAGGTGTAAGTTTGTCAAAATTCCAGAAAATTGGTTTCTTCTATGTTATAATGGGGTACTGTGTGTAGACTGGTAAGAGGAAAAAATAACTGCCATGATTTAACATAACGTTGCAACCTAACTGTCTGAATGCTTTCTGAATATACAGTATAGCCTTTATTCAAACTGTTGATATTCCCATTTTCCCATTATACTTCCTGTAGTAAACTGAAGTCATTTAATCTGTCATTGTTTTTTTCATAACACACTAATCCACATGTGCTTGCTTGATGTGTGTGTTTCACCTGGGGTCCTCAGAGTTTTCCTCCTCTGTGTTCGCAGTAGGTTCAGTAACCCCTGTCTGCATTTTTTCAGGACCTGCGGCTGTGAGACATAAATCATCACATAACATTGCCTCCATTGTGCTCATATCTGTTTAATTTAAAAAAAAAACAAAAAAAACCAAAAACAAAACTGGTGGGGATATAGCAATGTAATTACCGTTCTCAGTTTGGTACAGCACAGATGCCTTTGCTCCTTCCCCAGGATCGACAGCATTCACATCTGTTGTTCCGCTGCTCTCTGGACTGTACAATGTTAAGACATTTACATAATTGCGCCTCATCTTCCTTCATTTAGTGTTAATGCAACAAACAATAGGCCTCACAAATGTTTCCCACAAAAAAGGAGAGAGAGAGAGAGAACAAAAACAAAACAAAACAGGAAAACTGTAAATTTGAAAGTAACGCTGCATAAGGCTTGTGACAATGTCTGAGGCACCTTTGCTGTAAGCCATGTCCCATTCTCTCCTTGTATTTTGAATTTTTAAATGTGTGGTACTACTTTGAAAATACAGGCAAAATGCCAAAAAAACAAACACTGAAAACAATAAAATTTTACAGCAGTATTGACCAATACTTTTAAGTAAACAACAACAAAAAAATGACTTCCTGCCATACATGTACTTAAAGATGTGTGAAAAACAGAATGCTATATTTTTGTTGTCTGTGGTCCAGTTATATAGTTGCTGCATGTTGGTATAATCTACAAAAGCTAAAATACTGAGAATTAAGAAAAAAGCTCATACTGACCTTGATGTAATGATGGCTTTAGATGGCACGACCACTTCAGGAGTCAGTGGCTCATCATCCAGTGTCTGAGATGTACAAAGCATGTCATTGGCGCTGCTGTTTCCTGACAATTCTGTCCCTGCCACTATTGCAGTTTCACCCGCCTTATACAGCTCCCCATCTACCGTGGTTCTCCTTGGTTGGTCAGAAGATGTTGTATCTGGGTCAGTGGGGGTCTTGACTGGTATGTCGCCAGGCTGGGACAGAGCAGAGCTGCAACAACACAAAGAATGTGGAATAAAAGGGAAAAGCACATACCATCAAATTGTCAATTAAAGCCCTTACCTAATTTCTAAAATAAATATGTTGGGCATTACCATCACCCTCTGAACAAAGAAAGAGGCCTACATGTTAAAGTAAAAGCCTGATAAGGAAAAAAGGCACAAAGACACAAATCACTAATCCTTTAAATGCCTCTGGGCGGTGCCACCTCCTTGCATTCCCCAGTGATGACTTGTTGGAAGGACTTCCTGGCTTCCTTACATCAAACGTCTGCACTACTTCCAACCTGAAATGCAGTTCTTAGTGCGCTGGATGAGTAAAAGAATGTTTTTAAAGTGTTTAATGCAGTTTTTGGGCCGCTGGGTCCTTTTTTGTGCTCGACTGTTGTAGATTGTTGCCGCTAGAAGTTATATTTATTCATTCATTAAATAATTGCTGCTAGTTGTGTTGTCATGTGCAATTTTGCAATATGACATGTTTCTAACTAGATCAAAAACCAGTGAGCGGTAGAAGAATGTCAGCTCATTTACCAACCTCTGAGAGATAGAAACGCGAATATTGTATCATCCATGGCTATTTAAGTCATGCCCTTCCAGAGCTGTGTGCTCCTCTCACTTTCTTTCTCTTCTTTTTACTAATCCACACTTGGACTTACACACATACATGCACACACATACATCCACACAAACAGTCAAATCTATGGAAAATAAACTTTCTTCTCCCCATCTATCAACCTCTATGGTATTCAACAACATTATGTTATTCCACGCCAGCATTACCCCTGTACAGGGCTACTGGTCCAATTCTCCGTTTCTAGGGTTAGGTTCTACCTGCCTACAGGCCCTTGGCCTACCAGGATTCTGTACAACTACTTAAGCTGGTGCGGAGGAAACTCGCCTAGCTTCTAACTGCCTTAATTGAGACACCTACCCCGCTTCTTCTAATAGTTGATCCAACTGAGTAGCCTCAGTAGTCGACTCACACTACCAGACATGCCTGACAGTGCCAGCTTCCCTCCTAAATGGAATGAGCACTTGGTAAGATGCTAGGTTGGATTTAGAGGTTTGGCACAACTAACCCCAGGGATATGTTTAAAAATACTATTTTACTGGTAACTTAGAATAACCATTAAGAGCCACTAAAAGATCTCATGCACACAATTGACTAACTTTTCACAACCATCAGATACTGTAGATGACATAACATTTCAAACCAAATAAACTTGCAGAATTATATACTGAATGCAAATCTTTAGCAGCAGCAAAGCAACAATTCTTAATCATTCATTCAAAATATTTCAAAATATGATTAACTCAATTGAGTAAAGATAACATTATAGAACTGAGCTTTTCTTAAACTGAAAATAATAATCTAATAAGCAATTTGGAGAGGGAGAGAGCCGAACAGCCCGGCCGCAGTTGTACTACTATTCCATATTTGGTAACAGGAACGGACACAGTTTGGCAAACACAGCTTATACAAGAGCCTCTGTTTATCCAAAGAGGAACCATCGATTGCTTTAGCAATGAGTTCATACTGCGAACGTCCTGTGACTAATGGCCTCATATGACACATCCAGACATGCCCTATCTTTAAGGACACTGTCCTCATTTGCTCTTTTAACATTGTCTTGAACTTTACACATATACTTTTAAATCAAAATTACAGGAAATCATAAATTCGTTATAATGTTTATAATCATTGACTTAACCTTAATACTATTGATCATCTGGTCACACAATACATTTTAATAATTATTACTTCAGATTTAATCACTCAGTCATCATGGTTACAGCTTACAGCCTTCCAAATCATAGTCTTTTATCTTGCTTACTAAGAGCCAGTGTTCTTTGTTAGTGGCTGCTTCTGGGATCTCAAACCTTGACTCCACTTGACAATTGTTATCACTGATAAGTCTCATATGGCCTCACTCCTCAACCATCACTTTGTTCATGCAACAAAAGCATACTCTACCTCAGACCCCAATACAGCCTCTTCTGATACTCGATTTTCCCCATCCTGCAATACTAGTTTCTCCTTTAAATCTCTTTCTGTCTCCAAAGTTCAAGATGAACTCACCAGGCTGAACCCTAACAAATCTGTCGGCTTCGATGGGCTTGATCCCACGTTCTTAAAATCAGCTGCTCACATCATTGCTGCTCTTATCACAAGAATATTTCATCTATCTTTACAGCTCTCTGTGTTCCCTCCTGACTGGAAATCGGCTACTATCTTCCCCCTCTTCAAAGGTGGATTTGGCTCTGACCTCAACTGCTACCGAGCCAATTCCATTTTACCATGCCTAGCCAAGTTCCTGGAGAAGTTTGTTTTTAGACAGCTAAGCCACTTCCTTCACTCAAACCGGATCTTTTTAGACCTACATTCGGGTTTCTGAGTTGGACATGGGGGTGTGAGAGCCACTGTGAAGGTCCTGGACTGGATGGCGCATGCTCTGCTGGATGGCGCATGCTCTGCTGCGACAGCACGGACCGCACCCAGGACTCCCAAATCATTAGCGTTTTTTAAGTGTTTGTAGGCTTGTTAAGTGTTTCTAAGTTTGTTATGTTTGTTAAGTATTTCTTCTCAGTCCTGCGCAAACATGATTTGCTGCCATCAAGCAGTTGCAATTCTACTCATCATGACCTGGGTGATCTGTTACAGCCTACACCTGACACATACCAGCAACAGGTTACTCACCTACAGCCACGACAAGCTTCTGGTCCATAAATCCTCGCTGCTGAGTAACATCAAGCCTGCTCTGGTTATAACACCTGAGGTCCGGCCAAGCAAAAGAGGAAGACGCGGAGGCGTCCGCAGCAGACTGAGAAGATGACCGTTCAAGCCTCCACTTCCCTCCATCATTATGTCAAACGTCCGTTCACTCCGCAAAAACTGGATCTGCTTCATGCCAGATGTCGACTGGAAAGGGCCTTCAGGGACATCTGTGTCATTGCCTTGTCGGAGACGTGGCTGGACGAATTGGTCTCCGACACTGAGGTTGCCCTTGACAACTTCACCATCATTAGTTCTGACAGGACAGGGCAATCGGGAAAGATCTTCGGTGGTGGGGTCTGTCTGTACATCAACAGCAGCTGGGCTAATAACGTCAAAGTCCACCATAAGCTGTGCACACCCCACCTGGAGATGCTGGCCATATCCATTTGCCCATATTACCTGCCCAGAGAATTCTCCACTGTTGCCATCAGCTGTGTTTATGTGGCACCCAGTGCAAACACCACGGTAGCCGCGGAGGCGATAGCTGGGGATGCTAATGCTATGTTGGCTAAATATCCCGGTGCTCCACTGTTTATATTGAGGGACTTTAACACCTGCAGTCTGGACTCTGTGCTACCATCATTCCAACAGTATGTGACAACTCCCACTAGAGGGGAAAAGATACTGGATATGTGCTATGGAAACATCACCAATGCATTCCGTTCACGTTTGTATCCATTGCTCGGACTGGCGGATCACAACATTGTATCCCTACTTCCGCTTTACAAACAGGAACTGAAAAGGCACAAACCACAAAGTCACAGCGCCCCACAATGGTCGGGAGACGCTATTACCCAACTTCAAGGCTCCCTGGCCTGCACGGATTGGGACATTTTTGAGGGGGATCTGGATCATAGAGTTTCTGTCATTACAGATTAAATAAACTTCTGCATTAGCACCTCCATCCCTGTGAAAACAATAAAAAAAATACCCCAACTCCAAACCATGGATTACCCCACACATAAGACAGTGGCTTAAAGAGAAACATCAAGCCTTTAAAATGAAGGACTGGGTTAGCATGAAAAGGGCAAACCGGAAAATCAAAAATGAAATTCTTAAGGCAAAGCTGAAGTACAAGGACAAACTGGAATCTGAGTTTGCTAACATGAACACAAAAGAGGCCTTCAAAAAATAAGAACCCTGACCGACTGTGAAACTAAATCGAAAATAGGGACAATAAATGATCCAGAATCTTTTTTCAAAGGATCTCAATACTTTTTATGCTCGCTTCTGTGTTCATGACTTCTCAGCTGAGTGTGACAACCTCCTGAGAGCCCTCCCTCGTCTGGACCCACAGGATCCAGTTCCTTTTTCGGAGGGGGAAGTAAGGCAACAGCTCAGCCGATGTATGCTGGGCAAGGCTCCAGGGCCTGTTGGCATCCCAGCAAGGGTGCTTAGGCACTGCTCACAGGAGCTTGCACCCGTCTTTCACTCTATATTTACCCAAATCTACTTGACCACAACAATACCAACCATCTGGAAAATTGCCATTATAATCCCAGTTCCGAAAAAACCCCGGCCCACAGAACTTAACCACTACCGCCCTGTTGCCCTCACCCCCATCATAATGAAATGCCTAGAAAAACTGTTGCTGAGCCTAATCTTACCCATTGTCACCCCACAACTGGACCCCCTACAATTTGCCTGCAGGTCTAAGAGGGGCACGGAAGACGCTGTAGCCTGCCTGCTGCACACGCTGCTTCAGCACCTTGACGCACCGGGCCACTACATCAGGATACTCTTCGTGGAATTCAGTTCCGCATTCAATACAATACAAAGACACCTCATGATTCAGAAGCTACATCACCACAGCATCCCTCCTCGGTTGATCAATCTCATCCACAACTTTCTAAGTAATAGACTGCAAGCAGTACGTGTAGGTTCAACCATATCACCAGTACTCACCACAAACACTGGAGCCCCACAAGGATGCGTGTTGAGCCCATTCCTGTACACGCTCTACACTAATGACTGCATCAGCCCTTCTCCTGGAAACATCTACTACAAAAACTCTGACGACACAGCCATTCTCGCTCTCCTCACAGATGATCACTCGGTTCTGGAATACAACAACACCATCAGTCACTCCACTCAGTGGTAGTAAGTAACCACCTTTACATCAATATAAGGAAGACAAAAGAACTGATAATCAGCCCACCCACCCCCCAGCACGCCATTATTATTAAAAACCAACCTGTGGAAACAGTCGACCACTTAAATATCTTGGAGTAACACTGGACAATAAACTCACCTTCGATCAGCACATCATAGACATCCAAAAACGGAGTCATCAAAGACTGTCAGCCATCCGTAAACTCAAAGGTCTCTACGTTGCTCCACGTCTTCTTCTGTCACTGTACCAAAGCATTATTCAATCCATCCTACTGTACTGCTCCACCTGTTTCTATAACATGCTCACTGTTAAAAACCGGACTAAACTATTACACATAACCAGCACTGCTGCAAAAATCATAGGTCTCCCCACACCCAACCTATCTGAACTCAACAACAAGGCCATTACACGCATTGCACTCTCAATACCACAGGACTCTACTCACCCACTACAGCAATATCTTATCCTGTTGCCTTCAGGAAGGAGATACAGGACACTGCGGTGCAGAAAGGCTCATTTTGGTAAAAGCTTGATGCCTGCAGTCATAGCTGCCTTAAACAAAATTCCCCGCTGAGCATCCCTGTACTAAATTGTCATGTCTTTCATACTATTTCATGTTGTACTTTGTGTTGAAATGTTATTCTGCCTGTGTACCCTTATGTGGGATTCTGTGTAGTTTGTATTGTCATGTTATGAGATGGAAGTCAAGGGCTGGTCTGTGGAAAAGAATTTCCCCCTGGGGACAATAAAGTCTAAGTCTTGACGACATTATTACAGCAGCATTAGACAGCAAGCAGGTCAGCATAGTTTGACCTTGCTAACGCCTTCGACTCTGTTGATTACTGGATTCTACTTCGTAGGCTCTCGAGCATCGGTCTGTCTACTACCTGCTGTGACTGGTTTGCCAGCTACCTTACTGACCGTGTTCAGCAGGTGAAGACGGAAAACATTCTGTCAGACCCACTTATTGTCTCCAAAGGTGTACCTCAGGGCTCCATCTTGGGCCCAACCTTATTTTCCATCTACATTAATGATGTTGCAAAAGCTGCTGGCAGTTCCTGGATCCATTTGTATGTCGATGATACCATCTTATACTCAACTGGCCCTTCACTCCACTCTGCAGCATCCACTCTTCAGCTCAGCCTCACTCCTGTTGAGCAGTCCTTTCACAACCTCCACCTCCCCCTTAACATCAGTAAAGCTAAATGCATCATCTTTGACAGGAGGAATGTTGGTTGGAGTACATCAAATCCTATACATATCTAGGCTTCTGGCTGGATTCCTCAAAACCAGACTAGCCTTCCTCTTCCGCAACAAAGCCTCCTTTACTCATGCTGCTAAACACACCCTCATCATGATGACAATACTCCCGATTCTGGTACCCAAGTACCGTGCTCAAAAAACTGGACACTCTTTATCATACAACCATCCGTTTTCCACTAATGCACCCTTCCACACTTACCACTGCAATCTCTATAAATTGGTGAGGTGGCCCTCCCTTCATACTCTGTGGTTTCACCCCTGGTTTCAAGACAATTCTGCTTCTTACTTGTTTATATTTGTTCTATGTTATGTTTATGTGTCTATAATTTACATGTGTATTTGTTCCTGCAGGGCGCCGCTTGGCCAGGTCATGTTTGCAAATGAGAACTGATTCTCAAATGCGCCATTAGAGGACTGTCTCCTTAGGAGGACACATAGCCTCACTCATCACACACGTGTCAACCAGGTAGTGCACCTATTCAGAACACACAATGTCTTCAGTCTTGCTGTGTGCCATCTTGTTTACTTTAGAGGAAAATGTGGAGTCCAGTGCATGCGTGTCCAGTGTAGTGTTCAAACCTAGCAGTCATCTCTAGTGACTAACAGGTGGTCAGACGCACCTATGTCCACAGTCTTTCCCCAAATAAGTTGTCTTTTCTGTTCATTTTAAATAAAACCATTACAGGCACTACAAAATATGACAGCACATTGTTGCCAGTACTATTACTACTAAATAATTGGCTCTACCTGTACATGGATTCCCCAAGTGGTCGACTGGTGTCAAAGCAATCGGGGAGGATGATGATGTAATCCTCCGAAGAGGTGGAGGAGGACCGACTCCTTGTCCCTTCTCCCTTCTCCTCTCCCTCTTTCTCCTTCTCCTTGTCTGGCTCTTTTTCTCTTGCCTTCACCCTGTCCTCCAAACAGATGCTCTCCAGATGGGACTCTGAAACCAGACAAAATAGTGATTTAAAAAAATTCAGTAAACCCCAATGTTTTTGGCTGTAAGGAGCAGCGCTACCTGATGCAGAATAGTGAGATCAGAACCTTCTTCTGGAGTCAGGCCTGGAAGAGTAGCTTACTGGCGAGCATCTGATGGCCCCAGCCTTGGCTAATGGGGCTTAGTTGAGCACATAAATTATACAGTCTCTAGTTGGGTACAGCCCAAAAGGGCTACATGGGGCCTCAACCCACTGTGCCAACAACCCGCAGGGACAGGCAGTGGGTTTGGGTACAGTGTAAGCTGGGTGGCAGGTGGGAAAGAACACCTGGGCATGCTGACCCCTTGTGAAAAATATGGTTTTAGAGGTGTGGAATGTAATCTCACTGAGGGGGAAAGAACTGGAGGTGGTGCGACCGGTGGAGAAGTACCGGCAATATATTACTTGGCTCCACTCCTTGCACAGCAAAAGTTCTGGAATCAAATTCCTGGAGAGGGGGTGAACTCTCTTTTTCCAGAGTTTTCCAGATTGAATGGCACCAGGCCTGTGTGGGCATACTCACAAGCCCCTGGCTGAGCGCTGCTGTGTTGGAGTCACATCTCTGTAACTGCAAGCTATAGAGTGGAAGGCTCTGACTGTTGTCTGTGCATTAGCACAAAACAGGAGTTCAGAGTGCACACCCTTCTTGGAATCTCTAGGTGGAGTTCTGAAAGAGGTTCCGCCAGGGAACACTATAGTTCTCCAGGGGGGGACTTCAGCAGTCTCATAGAAAATGATAGCGAAACCTGGAGAGGGGGACTGGAAGGAATGGCCTGGCCAATCTGAAACAGAGCTCGGTTATTGGACTTCTGTGCTAGGTATTGATTGGTCATAACAAAGACTATGTTCAAGCATAAGGTTGATCAAAGTGTACTTGGTACCACCTTGGGCCAAAGTTCAGTGTTTGACTTTGTGGTCATATCAGCAGACCTCCATTTTGTTGTGAACACTTATGTAAAGAAAGGGGTAGAGCTGTGAACTAATCACTGCCTGGTGGTAAGTTGGATCAGATGATAGGGAAGGCTGCCGGACATGGTATGTGAGAGGGCCACGTTCAAAGCTTTGCAGAAAGCAGCTGTTTGGAGCTGTGGTAAGAAGGTCTTCAGTACCTATCATGACGGAACCTAAAGACCTGTTGTTGGACACCTGCATTGAAAGAAGCTGTCAAGCTAAAAAAGGAGGCCTTAGAGGCTTTGTTGGCCCCTGGATCTCCTGAGCAGCAGACAAGTACTGTGGAACCTGAAGTAGACAAGAAGCTTGTCAGTGACAAGGTGCTGGTGTGGATGACGAAAGGATGCACGTACTCCCTACAAATACATGTTTTTTGGACATTTTTAGACTTGGAGATCCATCATCCTCAATGGGGATAGTCCCTTCCAGTATTTATGGACAAAGTCACAAGAAACAGGTGGGATGGATATGCAATTTGGGATCCCCAGGGTCATGTCACTGCTTGATGCATGTGGCATCGTTCTGGTGGATTCATCAGAACATCTGGATGAACCCCAGAGTAGGGTTGCTGCTCCTTTGTGTCGAAAGGAGCTTGTTGAGGTGGCTTGGGCTTTTGATTGGGATGTCTCCTGGGCGACTTCCTGTGTCCAAAAATCGGGAATATACTGTACCTACCACTATTGGTTAAGCTCACTAAAAATCATGTTCTTTGTAATTTGTTTAACCAAAACATATTTATGTGCAGTTACAAAATTAATATATATCTTGTATAAGTATTGGAAAGAAAGTGAAAAATATTAAAAATCAAGAAAAATACCTAAAAAAAAACCCTGAAGGATAAACTTAAATTAAAAATAACAAATCGTTTCAATATTAGAGCACCTGTATGTGACGTTATGTATTTCTTAGACTTGGCATTATTTAGATGGGACAAGGTTGTCTAAATACATAGTTTAGATCCATATTAAAATGAACGAGTCATCACTATTGTTATCTATATTAAAAACAGTTTCAGAAATGTGAAATTTAAAGCAGAGAAAAAACTCAGGACTCTATTTACCTGATGCATGATGGCCTAAAAGGACAAATGGAGTTTTATTTCATGCACAATTTTAATCTCATCACCAGCCCTTGAACTCACCCTGCCTCTGCATGTTAGAGTTTATGTTTAAAAATAAAAGTTAAATAAAAGTTGTTGGGTTTTTTTGCTGCGAATTTGTTTGTATTTGATCGTATTTGATACCTGCCGTCTTAGCACAATGTAGCTTTATTGGCAAAATCTCTTTGTCTGAAGAAGTGGGGGGAATCAGAAAGGCAAAACTGCACTCCTTTTCTGGAAGGTCCAAGCTTCAAGAGGAAACATAACAAGAGGACAACATAAGTTGCAATTCTGGATGATGGATAGGGGATGTCACACCTCTCTATGTCCACCACTGAATAGAGTCTATGGTCATATGGTCAAATGTAATTAAATCATTCCCCTTTTCTGATACAATTTGTGCTCTGTAAATTTTTGCCAACAGTCATTTAATGGCTTTACATCTAGTAATGATTTAGCCACATATAGATGTTTTTATTGTTAGTGCTGAAGTCCATCATTTCCACACTGGATGCAACATGACCCTTTCTCACATAAAAAGGCTCTAATCAATAGCTCCTGATATAGTTAGAATAAAATCTTTTCTCATCTGAGAAACTCAACCACTGTTTTTTCCCATCACCTGTGGCTGTGTGCTCCTGCTGTGTGGAGGCCCTGGGCGAAACTTGGTGTAGAGCTGGTACTGAGCTGGGGCCAGGCACCAGAGCTGGATCAACAGACAAGGCAGCAGGCAAAGAGGCTTGTAGCGGAGAATTGAGGGAATCCTTCGGAGTAACTGGTGATTTTAGGGGGTTGCTTGAGCTGCCTGGACTGCTGTTGGAGGCCTCTTTTGTTTTTACTGTCTTAGTCTTCATGCAGGACAAAGAGGAGGCGTCACCCTGAGCAGCTGGATGCACCACTGAAAGCAAACAGGAGGAAGACTGCAATTCTGTTCTCTTGCACAATTTTACATTCATATGTAAATGCATGTAGTTGAAGTTGCCATCTGGCTTACTGCTGAGACTAAACAAACAAGTCAAGACAGACACTAAAACAGATTTCAAGTCAACACATTTCATTACTATAGAGCAAGTACATTTTAAAAATTAAGGTGATCTTTACTTGAAATTGTTAGCTCTGATATATAATCAATCATAACCATAGCCAGTCTGAGTGTTAATAGCCTGGGGTATCTTAGGCATTACATACTCAGTAAAAACCAACAGACTAATAATCCATTAAAAAGGACAGCTTCAGACCAGTGATTTGTGTACACACCTGTAACCACCTCTGACTCACCCTTACCTAGATGGGGACCTTTCAGGGGGGCATGGTCAGGGGACTCCTCCAGGGTTATTGAGTGAATCACAGTCTCACAAACAAACTGAGTTCGACTAATGTCACTGCGTCCTTCTTCTTGAGCCGGGATCCCGTCCTCTTCTGTTCCAGATGCTGCCTTATGGGGTATATCTGAAGCCAAGCAACAAGAAGACAAATGGTATAGCTTATGGGCAGGCCGTTTCTATGCACAGAATCAGATTTACAAGTTTCTTCTTGTGCTTGCAGTGCTGAATTCTCAGAATTCACATTCACAAACAAAAACTAAACCTATGCATAGAAGTCTCTGTGTTTGCCTTGACGTTGCACAGGCAGTGACCGGAGCATAGCCAACACTCAAGCAGTCTTTTGCTGAGGTGGTGGGGGACTTCCATGGTCCTGTTTGCCTTGACCATGCTACTCCTTATGTAGATGTCTTCAAGGGTGGGGAGCACTGTGCCCATTGTATGCTCTGCTGACCCTCTGCAGAGCTCTCCAGTCATGGTCAGAGCTGTTCCTGTACCACTGAGTGATGTCCCCTCTCAGTGCGCTCTCTACCACCCACATTAGAAAGGATTGGAGTGGACTCGTACCTGGTGGACTGGATCTCCAACTACCTCACTGACAGACCACAGTATGTCAGACTGAAAGACACCACATCTGACACTGTGGTCAGCAGTACAGGGGCCCCTCAAGGGACAGTGCTGGCCCCTCTCCTCTTCACCCTGTACACCTCGGACTTCTGTTACAACTCGGAGCTGTGCCACATACAGAAGTACGCAGATGACACAGCCATCATGGGGTGTATCAAGGATGACAGAGAGAGTGAGTACAGGAGTCTGGTGGACGACTTTGTTGTCTGGTGCAGAGAAAACCACCTGCAGTTCAACACCTCAAAGACAAAGGAACTGGTCATAGACTTCAGGAAACCTGATCCATGCCCACGACCAGTTCTGATTGAGGCACATGAGGTTGAACTTATACAAAACTACAAGTACCTTGGGCTGTGGCTGGACAACAAGTTGGACTGGACATGCAACACAGACTACCTGTACAAGACGGGACAGAGCAGGCTGTACTTCCTGAGGAGGCTCCAGTCGTTCAACATCTGCAGGAAACTCCTGCAGATGTTCTATCAGACGTCGGTGGCCAGCGTCCATTTCTACGCCATGGTGTGCTGGGGCAGCAGCACATTAAAAAGGGACGCATCGAGGCTGGACAAATTAATCAGGTGGGCCCGCTCTGCAGTGGGCATGAAACTGGACACCCTGGTGACGGTGGCAGAGAGGAGGACACTGACAAACTGCTGACCATCATGGACGATGCCAGCCACCCTCTGCACACTGTCGTCATCGCCCAAAGGAGCCAGCTCAGTGACAGGCTGCTCCTCCCCAGGTGCAAAACCAACAGGAACAAAAACTCCTTTGTCCCTCAAGCCATCAAACTGTTCAACTCTGAACTCGGGGGGAGGGGGAGGAGCAGCAAGCGGGGAGAGGTAGGGAGCGAGGGGTGAGGAGTGAGGACATTGGGGTGAGATAGAGCATCATGCTCTATCACCAGACTGTGTGCAATATTTAGGCACTTTGGCAAATTTTGTTACTGTATCCAGTGTTACTATTG